TCTTAACTCGAAAAGTACTTAACGAAAAAATACTTAAGTATAGTGTTTTGGAAAGCTCTCGAGATACGCTACAAGAATACACAATAAAAATTGGGGGTATCCATTTAAAAATATCATTGTGACCTTGACCTGATCTTTATGACGCAACTCAAGGTCAAACTGCTAATATCATAAAATAGATCTTTTTAAACCCTACAACTTTTGTATTTAACATTTGTTTATACAACGCTTTGTTTTCGAGATATTCAGGTGTTCCGGTATATAATATTCACCTTGTATATATATATATATATATATATATATATATATATATATATATATATGTACAATTATTGCACAATTATCTTGACTCCTCTCGGAGTTTTACATGGTGTATATGTGAAACTGCCCCATTTAATAGCGTACATATGGCCCTTGATAGAATTAAATAATTTATCTAGGAAACAGAATCTGCGCGCATTCTGCCGTCAGTTTGTCGTCAGAGTCTGTCGACAGGCTTTCACCAATCCGTCGTCAGGACAGATTCTGTGTGCAATCTGTTGCCATTTTGTCTACACACACTGTTGACAGACTGCGCAAAATCTGCTCGTGTAGGTTTGGCTATCTGGGTTGCTATATAATATTTAATAAATTATCCTTCAGTTTTTTTTTCATAAATATTTACTGGTATATCTTGCTTTTTCTATGTTAAACGAAGCCAGAAGCAACGTAATAACATTAAACGGATTAATATGCATCATTTTTTATACGCGTTAGAGCTACTTTAATACTCAACAAGAAAGATCTCATGTCGGAATATTTATAGTATTACATATCTATATCGCGTTATCGCATAGATAGCAATCAGATAACAGATTTTGTCGCTTGCCGCCGGTTTATATATAAACGCTATCATTTATACGTGATATATACGTGACAGCAACATTATTTTATTGTAAATTTTATTACAATTTTATTACAATTTTATTGTAAATTTTATTACAAATTTATTTTAGGTAGGCCTAGCTGAATACTGGATGGAGACTGGACACTCCGTACAATATGACAAAGCCATCAGATTGGCTCCCTCACAGAGTTATTTTGCCAGAAAACATCGTGAAGGTTTAGAAATTTTAAAACATCCCAACAATCTTAACTGAGACAAAGGTATGCAAGTAAACTATTTGGCATACTGTCCTCCCGGCTTTTTTAATTGACCAGCTGATCAATTAAAATACGCTGATTGGCTGGATTCAAGCCTTCTCCCCTACTCCCTAACACCATCTACACAAGGGGGAGGGGGGCATATAAGGACAACCTTTACCCAAGGGAGCTCAGTATCAGAGTTCTCAGCCCTGATGATGCAAACTGCAACGTTTGCGAAACGTCGGCACATCGCTGATTCAAGACACAGCTCCATTCCGGAAGCTATAGCTAGACATTGTATCAATGGCCGTGAAAACCTCAAATCTAGTATCCAAAAGATGTCTTCGGTTTAAATTCGAATCTCACCAGAAAAAATCCTAAATGTTATGAAAAAATAATATAGAAAAACTTTTTTTCATTGTATTTTACGAGTATTTATGAGAAAGCGCTTATTATATGAGTAATTATGAAAAATTATGACAAAATTTTCTTCCAAAAATTTAATTGAAGAACCTACGAAACGATAGGCTCTGCGCGCAATCTGCCCTCAGAGTCTATCGACAGACTCTGCGCGCAATCTGCTGCCAGTCTGTCGTCAGAGTCTGTTAGCAGACTCTGACAGCAGTCTGACGCAGGAGCTACAATCTCTTATGTATATTTCGTAGCCAGCGTTTGTGGCGCCCTCGCTGTAAGACACCCAGCCTAATAGAACTAATAATCAATATGGCTGTTTTGTTTTGAGTGGCATATACATTATTTATTAGTAAGAAAATGAACGTGAGAGCTGGAAGTATATAAAAAATATAATAATAAAGTAAAAGTTGCTCAGCGCAAAAAAAACATGGTAAGATCGTGTTGCGTGCAAAATTGTTCTTCAAGGAAAGATATGCCGAGCCACGCATTTCCGAAAGATGTTGAACCATGCAAAAAATGGATTGATATTTTGGGCATAAGACATGATTTAGAAGAAAAAGAAATGAAAAAATTTAAAGTATATCATAAGCATTTTCGAGAAGAAGACTATAGCGGTTCATCAACAAGAAGAGTATTGTTGTATTTTGCAATACCACATATTAATATAGAAACATTGAAAAGAAACGAAGAATGTTCAACAACAATTCCTGCTATAACAGATTCTAATAATGAAGAAGATAATCAACAGGAAGAGCAAAATGAAGAAGAACACAGAAATTATGAAAAAGAAACAAATTGCGCAATTTTAAAATAGCAGCAAAGAATATTGCAATACAGCATACAGAAATGTTAGCAAAACAACAAGAAGAACTAGAAAATATAAAGAAGACGTTGAATATACACGAGACGCAATTCATTTCAAGACCTAATCTAGAAAAAGTGACTCGAAAAATCTTATTAAGTCCTAAAGCCAAGAGATTGTATGAACAGATCGTGAAAATGAAAAAAAGTAAAATGCGACTAAAAAGATTGCTTGATATACGCAAGAAATAAAATGCGGTTAAATGTGTACAATTAAACGATAGTAAAAGAAACAGTAATTGAACAGTACATGTGCGACAGCAAAAGGTATGCGTATATTAGATATAGGATCAAATCCATATTCAAATATATAATTTTTTTATAAAATTTTTTTTATAATTTTTTATTTTTTTATAAAATAAAAATTAAAAATTATTAATAAAAAGGAAATAAATATAAATATAAAAAATATAATAAATATATAAAAAATTTTTTATGTATCTATATTAAAATTAATAAATTTTATTAATTGTAATTTAATTGTAATTTATATACCAGGTGTACAAGTATGAAATGCGGATTTTTTTTCCAAAAATACATGTTAAATTCGGAAGAATGATAAAAAGAGGTTTATTCGAAGTATGCTCCATTGCTAGTTACACATTTTTCCCATCTTTCGGGCAATTTATGGATACCACGCCAGTAAAAATCTTCCCCTTTTGCCGCAAACCATTTATCGAGCCATTTTTTCACATTTTCGTACGAACCAAAGTGCTGCTCAGCAAGTGCGTGACCCATCGATGCAAACAAGTGGTAATCGGAAGGAGCCAAGTCTGGTGAGTAAGCCGCATGGGGTAGAACTTCTCAGTTGAGTGCTTCCAACGTGTCGCGAACCGGTTTTGCCGTATGTGATGGAGCATTGTCATGGAGAAAAATGATCTTGTGTTGCCTCTTTTGGTATTCTGGTCGTTTTTCAAGGAGCGAACGGTTCAAATCGATCAATTGTTGTTGGTAGCGTTTGGTATTAACCGTTTCACCAGGCTTTAACAGCTCATAATAGACCACACCCTTCTGGCCCCACCAAACACAGAGCATCGTCTTCCTGCCAAAGCGATTCGGTCTTGCGGTCGATGTGGATGGTGCGCCTGGGCCTACCCATGATTTTTCGCGCTTGGGATTCTCAAAATAAATCCACTTTTCATCCTCAGTAACGATACCATGCAAAAACGACTTTCTTTTGTATCGTTCGAGCAAAATTTCACATGTGTTTTTGCGCCTCTCCATCTGCCTCTCGTTCAACTCATGCAGTACCCATTTTCCGATCTTCTGAATCTTTTCCATCTCTCGTAGGCGATTGGAAACAGCTTGTTGACTAACGTTCAATTGCTCTGCGAGTTGTTTTTGTGTTTGTGAATCATCTTCGTCCAACAATGCTTGCAACTCCACATCTTCGTATCTTTTTGGCGGTTTTCCGTGTTCCTTGTTTGTAATATCGAAATCACCACTTTTGACGAAACGCCGAAACCATCGTTCACACGTATCTTGCGATGGAGCATGTTCACCATAAGCTTCTCGAAGTAATCGGTATGATTCAGCAGCAGTTTTCTTCAAATGAAAACAAAAAATTAATGCTGTCCGCGAATGCTCTTTATTTGGTATAAATTTCAACATATTGAACACAGTAACACAACACTATGCAAATATTTTTTCAATTTATCACTCATGCGCGTTTGACACTTGTTGATGGCACAACAAAATGGCATAGATGTCAAATCTTTATACTACACACTGCATTGGTGCGCCATCTGTTTTCTCAAATCCGCATTTCATACTTGTACACCTGGTATACTCCATAGATTTAAAAAATTATTTTAAATTAATTATAACTTCATCAATAAATTGAAATATATAAAAATAATCAAACAACATCAACAAAATGTCAATATCAAATTGCAGCTTTAAATCCAAAATGATGCAAAGATGAAAATTGTAATATTATTAATCGATAAAGACAAATTGATAAAAATAAAGTTCCAATAATTACATGTAAACCATGAAATCCTGTTGCAATAAAAAAAATTGTTACCATAAATTGAATCAGCAATTGAAAAATAAGATTCTAAATATTCAAAAGTTTGTAATATAGTAAAATAAATTCCTAAAATAATTGTTAAAATTAAACTAATTAAGCTTTCATTGTATTTTTTTTAAATCATTGAATGATGAAATCAAGTTACAGTTAAACCAGAAGAAATTAATTAATTTCCTGTAATTGGCAACATGATTATTAAGAATAATGATGCTACACCACAGGTGAATCCCAATTCATTTGATTAAGAAATAGCATATTTACATCTATATATTTTCTTGATCATATTTTATAGTAATTATTTCTTTGTATGATTATAATCATAAATATTAAATAATTTTTTGGGGTCCATAATCTCGATACAATATCCTGCAGAATGGCTACATTTAGCAGAAATAAGCATTTGGTAAGCGATTAGTAATTTTTATAATATTGATATAATCTTTTGTATATATTAAAAATCTAAAAGTATACTCCAATTACAGACAATAATCATTTAATAATCACTAAATAATTGTGTTTAGCAAGTACTTATTTCTGTATATATGCTGTAAATGTTTAATATAAAATATTTTTAGCTGCATACAATTAGATATAATATACATATTATTGTATTATTGATATTTTGTTGTTGAAACACTTTTTAACTTTTAACTTTATATTTTTCATATTTGTATATAATTACTTTAATAATAGGCTCGACGTTACACAATAGAAGAGAAACTCTTCTGCCTGAGCTTATATCGTAGGTCACGCTCATCTTATACATTTCTTTCTAAGTATCTTCTATGCCCCTCCGTAAATACGTTAAATAAACAATTAGAAAAGATTCTTTTTGACACTTCTGCAACAGTATTTTGTTAAAATATTTAAAATTAGCCGCAAAAGAAATAAATGTCAAAGATTTAAACATACTTATAATCTGAGATGAGATGTCTTTGCAACCAGGCATTTATTATAACAAGAAAACAGACAAAATAATTTGATTTGAAGATTGAGGAAGAAAAAACAGATAATTTGCAGATCATGCAATTTTATTTTTTATTCGATATCTTGCATCTGGTAATCGTATGCTTATTAGATATAGTTTCTGTAGTGGTGCAACTCGCAGTATTCAACTTATTAGATGCATAAAACAATGGATAACAGTTACTATAAAATGTGGATTTAAACCCGTAGCGACTCTTTATAATCAAAGCGGACCAAACATTGCAACTATTAATATGCTAATCAAAGAAAGCAATGATACACGTCATAAGCAGCATAAGAATCCGAGTAAGTGTGCTTAACTCGTAATTTTTTATTAAAGTCAGGGTTGGAAACGTTACTTTTTAAAAGTAACGCGTTAACGTTGCCGTTATCGGTAAAAAGTAACTCGTTACCGTTATCCGTTACTGATTCTAAAAAGTAACACGTTACCGTTATTTGAAAAGTAACGATAAAAAAATCGTTACTTTCCGTTACTTTTGTAAAAAAAAAAAGTTAAAATCGGCTTATAAAACGAATAGTAAGAGAAACAATAGATAAATTATACATATATAAAGACAAAATGTAAGATATTTAAGTAGAAAGCATACATTCTTGCATAACGACATAAAGCCCATTCTACATTAGTCGCAAATTGCAAGGTCGCAAAGAAATTGACTAATCATAGTCGATTGTTCTTTTTGCGACCGAAAAATAATCAATTATGATTGGTCAATTTCTTTGCGATTTTGCGATTGCGAGTAATGTAGAATGCGCTTTAAAGATGTCGCACACGAATTGACATAACAGTAACGTAAGACGTACCGTAAAAATGGACCAATTACAATCGAGTATTCACAAAAATGGCGACCTTACGGTTCGACGATACTTAAAGTGATTGGTCAGTTCTTA